TTCACTCCAGACTTACATCAGGTCCACTTTTTGGGATGTCAAAAACGCCGAAAGAAGCATAAAAATATTGATCTTCCCACTTGTGCGAGGCGAGCCCTTGCTAAATATATCCTTATCCCCCCTCGAGGTCCACAGCGCAGAACAGATCAGGTCCCTGCAGCGAGAATAGTGGAGGATGAGGGGCTCCACCGGGAGGGGAAGCCAAGCCCGTTCCCCTTTGAGGAGTCTCAGGTCCGGGCTCCGCTCGAGCAAGCCCCGCTCTGCCTCTGCCCGGGTCTGGCGCATGCCACAGGAGCCCCCGCGCTGGGTTTGGAGCGGGGATTACAGAGAGCATCCCAGAGCCTCTTCTCACTGACCCAGACAAGGAGCCTGCTGCGTGTGACATCCAGGAACCCCGCCAACTGGCAGAACCTGGTCAGCTTTGGCTCTCCGGGACCCTGACGTTTCCCCGGGCCCACTCTTCTCTGACATATGACTTCCCGGAAGTACACCTCCCAGCCGTGGCTGATCTCGCTCCTGCCAGACCCCTGCTTAGCATGCCGCTGAATAATTCGCCCTGGAGGAAGACAGTATCTTTCATGTGGACATCTTAAGGAGAGTTAATGACAGCCAAGCTTCATTATTTCTGTTTTGTGTATGAAGAAAGTGACTCACAGAGGGGCTAGTGATTTTCTTTCACCCATAGAATCATTATGAGAAGTATGAATGAAACTTAGGATGAAACTATTTCATTAACCTTTAAACCCTGTACGTTCCCTTTACATTAATATAGGTTACAAAAATAATGACACCTTTGCGCAGAGAGGCTACTCCTTTACTCTCTTACTACATGTGACTTATATGAGCCAAAGCATCGACTACAACAAGGCCAGCTTGAGTTGCTCCCGTGTGATGCAAGATGGGAACAGGTGCTGTTTTATTAGTGATCCCTGGACCAGTCACAGTCTGTGTTTTCATCCACCCATCCATTCCTGCATCCAGTTCATTAGTTCATTCCATCAACACCCAGCCAAGTCCCTGTTACACCATCTGTAAAACAGACGTAGCAATGTTACCATTGGCAAAGGCTGTTCCAAGAATTAAGATAATTTTTTTTTTGAAGCAGACACTTTTATTAACTGACCAAATCATAAAAACACCACAGTAGATAGATACCTTAGTTCATTCTTCTAATAAGCCTATTGATCTGGTCTTCCCTATTGCCAGCATCGCCACCTTCCACAAAATGGGTGGTCTTTTTCTTCATCCCACCATGCGGAGACGACAATTTGAAGGGCCACAGGAAGTTATTTGCTTCTTTGAAGCGTTTTCCAACAGTATAGATCTCATGGATCAGATCCTCCATGCAGATGATGCCATATTTACCAAGAGATCGAGCGATCAGTGAGTTATCTGTCAAGGCAATTCGCTTCTTATTGATTTTGCCATAGTCACACTTGTATATTAGTTCATTTACTGACCTCAGGTTTGGGTACCCCCATGCAATATACGGTTCCACAATTCTCAGCATGTTAACGGAAGCCTTGTAGAGCTTAACGAAGGTACCACTGAAGATTTGGCAAAGGTGAAGAAGCTGCAACACCTTGTGAACCTTTGGGCTCACACCACTGATGCCCCTGATCCGGATGACAAATGCCAATTTGGATTCTGCGGGTACACAGAAGTTGCCAGCTTTTCTTGCCATCCTCGCCATCTGAGTCTCAGTCCAGTACATCTGTCTGTACTCCTTGTGGTCGTACCTGGCTTTTTCACAGATGAGCTTCCTCCGGGCCTTTCGAAGCATCTTTTGGGCAAACTTCTTTCTCAGGTGCTTTGCCTTCAGCTCTGTGAAATGTCTTCACTTATTCCTAAGGGTTTCTGGCACAGCAGGAACCTTCTTTTTCTTCTCCTCAACACCCTCCATGGTTCCAGGGGGAAAAGAGCAAATTAAGATAATTTCTATAATGCATGCTGCCCAGCACTAGTCAGCCTTCAGAGAATAATTAGTATTAAGCAACTGTAAAGAGCCATGTTGAAAGACCACAAAAGAAAAAAAAAGAAAAGAAAGTCCTTTTACAGCTCTGTCTGTAGATGGAGAGGGTAAAGGCGCACCTAAGGGTGAATGAATAGCTGGGAAGAGGCCCATCTCTTAAATTAAAAGCCAGATCTGAGGACTTGAGCCTCAGGTACACAAAAGAGGGATCCTTGGACCTGCAGTATGGACAATGAAGTGTTGTAGGGTAAGGAACATATCGCTAGGTAGGGGAGGTTAGAATGAAACTAAGTGCCTTAGAATCACTAAGTGCCTTAGAAACCACTTAGAAACTCAGAATCACAAAGAAGAGACACAGACACAACTTTTTTGGTGCTTGGGACTAAACCCAGGGCCTTTGCACTGAGTTACATCCCCAGCCCTTGTTTATTTATTTATTTAGAGACAGGTCTCACTATGTGGTTCAGGCTGGACTTGAACTCACTTTGTAGCCCAGGTGGGCCTTGAACTCTTGCCAATCCTGCCTCAGCCTCCCGAGTGCTGGGATTGCAAATGTATGCCACCATGCCCAGCTACCAGCTCTTTTTAAATTTTTGATTGAGACAGGGTCTCACTAAATTGCCCAGGCTGGGCTCCAGTTTGCATCCTGCCTGCCTCAGGTTCCCAGAATGATAGGATTACAGACGCATGCTACCATGCTTGACTTAATTTTTCAGGTTATAGTCTGTATATTTCTGTTTTGCTTGACCTTTTACAAAATACATTTTTTTTTTTTTTTTTTGTCTTTTTGAGACAGGGTCTTGCTATGTAGTTCAGGCTGGCCTGGAGCTCACTTTGTAACCCAGGCTGGCCTCGAATTCACAATCCTCCTGCCTTAGCCTCCACGAGTGCTGGGATTACAGGCGTGTGCCACCATGCCCAGCTTTATTCTTTTTCTTTTTTCCCTTTGGTTTCTTCCTGGTACCGGGAATCGAACTCATGACCTCGCACTTGCCAGGCAGGCGCTGTGCCACTGAGCTAAATCCCCAGCTCCCCAGCCCCAGCTTTATTCTTTTTGTAAGACAAGAATTGTCATACTGGAAAAAAAAGAGCAAATAAGAAAAGGTGCTTTGACTCTTATCAACAGACTAGTCCTTTCTTCTTGTAGGTAGATTGGAGTAAATCGGTAAAAATCTTCTAATCTATAGAAATGGCTCTCTGTAGAAGATGCCTGGTACAGATAGCTTGGTCACTACGCTTCTTTTTAAATAGAATTCTGTGGATAGTACTTGGGAGCATAGTGTTCTGTTATCCCACCAAGCTCCATAAAAATATACAGCCCATCATTGCCAAATTAATTTGTGACCTGAGAAGCACGTGGTGTTCTTCTTGCTTTGTATACTGTCACTAAGAACAAGAATCTAAAATTGTCATGTAGCTGTTTTGTTCCAATGCATCAGTGTCGAGCTCCCTCGGTTTTCCTGGGTCTATGGGGGCCTGAAGGAGTAATTCGACCTACAGACTTATAGGCTTTACCTTCTGACCAGAAGCTGCTGTGATTATCTGAGATGGAAGGCTCTGTCACTGGGGTCTTTTCCTGCCCAACTGAGACTTGGCTTTACCCAAAAAGGAAAAACAAACTCCTGCGTTCTTACTGATGGACACGCTGCTTCACAAGCTCAGGGCTTTGGCTGATCTGGGCATTTACTTTTCATATGCCAGTGAAGATTCTTAAGGCTGTTACTGCTTACAGACATCAGGTTCTAGCTTTTATAGAGTGGCTCGTGCATCTCAGTAAAATTTCGTTTTTGAAATTTTAATATGCTGTTAAGCATTTTAAATTTGATTTCCAGTACACTTTTTCATGTACTTGGCCAAAATCTCCTGCGCTCAGCAGAGTCTGCACAACCTGCATAACAGGATTTTTCTGTTAATGTGACAGCGCTTGTCTGGATTATTCAATTGTTGGACAGTCGGGTACATTCCTAGGTTTTGGTCATTCTGAGCTTCCTGAACAGCCCTGCAGAATCCCCTTCCCTCTGCGGATCCTTTCCTTAGAAATGCACTTCCTTACATGGGTGTACTGGGTCAAAGGACTTTACGAACAGTTTATAGCCCTCGAGGCGCTGACCCCGTGGCCCCGCAGGCGAGGGGCGGGGCGGCGGAGGCGTGGGCGCAAAACAGTTTTCAGTTGCTCTCCAGGTCTGGGGAGGTTCGGCCCCAGCTGGGCGAGGCAAGAGCTTTCTGCAAACCCCCAGGGGCCGGAAGCCACTCTTACAGGCCCGGCAGCCCTACGAGAAGCTGCTGAGCCGCTCCCATTCCCGGCCCTAGTGCGGAAGCGCCTCTGCAGTCCGGCTGCAGCCCCCGCTTCGCTCCTGCGCCCCGGCTGCGGCCCGGGGACTCGCGACCGCCGGATGCGGGCGGCACCGCAGGGGGACCCGGCCGTCGGGGGGCGCGACGGGCCTCAGTGGGGACAGCGGCCCAGGAGCGCCATCCTTGTCTCCAGCCCCTCTGCCTCGGGATCTCAAACAGTGGGGGGTTTGAAGGGGAAGGGCGGCCGAGCGTACCACAGAGATGGGCGCACTAAGGCGGCGCGGCAAGACGGAATCCCGGGACAGCGGGCGGGGCCAGGTGCGCGCGCAGGCGGTGGGCGTGGCCAGCGCGCGCGCG